GGGGTTCTTTTATGTTTTTTTTCGTAGGGAAGATGAGGAGAGGGGGTGGGAGGGGAGGGGGGAGAGAGGTTTACTTTTTCAATTTTTCTTTCTTTTCTCGATTTATGACACGTGTCAGAAGCTGATTGGTGCGTGTAATAGCAATCTTTAAGCAGATGTGGTCAAACACCAAAGTGGTGTGTAATTGACACACCTTTAAAAGTTTTGATGTGTAATATTATTCCCGCATTTAATATGTGTGTAAGAGGAATTTGGGTATAAGGTCGATGGGTAAAGTATGTATTTTGCCCCACTCAATAGCTGTTGCTAAGACTAGTTACTGCTGAAATAGTCACTGGTGCACGTGTGGAGATGTGGGACATCGAGTAGAGATAATAAACAAACATTTCAATTCCTATATATTGGGCTCGTTTGGCAGGGTGTATAAAAATAATACTGAATAAGGTGTATTAGTAATGCTTTGATTAGTAATGCTGAAATTAGTTATGGTGAGATTATTTTTTATCGAAAATAATACTGAATAAGGTGTATTAGTAATGCTTTGATTAGTAATGCTGAAATTAGTTATGGTGAGATTATTTTTTATCGACTGTTTACTTTGGTGTATTAAAAATAACAAGCATTGCATAAAAAAAGAATTAAATTGTTTGTTTACAAAAATACCCTCTACATTCTTTAGAAATGATTTGGAAAAAGTTTTGAAAGGGTAGTTTTATCTTTATACATGCTTATTCATGTCTTAAAAACTATAGTATTGCTAATTGCCATGGTTTGTTGTGTATAAAAATAGTAAGGAATATGGTATTTAACTAACATATGTATTAGTTATACATAGATTGAAACGCACTATACATATTATTTTTCTTAATATATTCTACCAAACGACCCATTAAGATTTTTTTAAAAAAAAAAATTACATCATCTAAGAATAGTTACAATTGTATATTTATAATAAGTGAAACTAAAAATATGTATAATGAGTTAAGCGATTTATTATAATAAGTTTAATTAAACTGTTAGATGTAAATAATACACTCCGAGTGCATGTAAATTAAATCCACAAATAATTGAAAGCAGGTAAAGATGCCGGCAGGAATAAAAAAATATATAGAGGCAAATTCCAACTAAAAACAATACAAGAAGTATTCTTACTTAAAAACTAAATAAAAATCAGTTCTAGATGAAAAAATATGGTGAAGGGCCTACACATACAAATTAAGGCAGAATTTCTCCATTGTCCTTGTCACTGTCTTCTCAACATACCCTAAATTTCTAAATCACTTATAAAACGATCTCAACTGAAGAATTACCAAACCACTTTAATTTTCTATCTCTAGTTTCTCAAACCCCAAGTAAAAATCTTTACAAGGAACAAGAAGGTTAAAAAACAAGGACCATTTGCTCTTGTTGCTAGCTAAAATTCAACATCAATGGCATCTGAAAAGAACAACAACTCTTCCGATAGCTCAAGCGAAGACAACGATTGCGAATCGGAGAAATTCAACGATGATAACACCGGCGTGGGACGTTCCTATGAGTGTAATTTCTGCAAAAGAGGTTTCACAAATGCTCAAGCTTTGGGTGGTCATATGAATATTCATAGGAAAGACAAGTTGAAAGCTAAGCAAAATTATAATCAAGAATCTTCTTCTATTTATTCAAGAAAATCCCAAGATCAAGCTAATGCTTTTGATAACTCAAGGTACTATGCACCTATTTCAAGTCATGAGCAACATCACTATTATTCTAGGGCACAAATGAATTACCAATTTTACTTCCAACCTTCAAACCCTAGCTACCAACATGTTCATGATTCGCGTCCGATGCAAGAAAATTATAATTATTTTGGTATGCATGACAATTATTATGATACCAACCTTAGTCTGAGAATTGAACCTACACTTATTGACGATGAAGAAGAAGAAGGCAAGAAAGATGTCGATGTCGATGAAAATGAACTCGATCTGGAGCTTCGTCTTGGCTATAATAATCACTGATTAATTGCCGTGAGTGATCAATTTTCAATTCCATATTTAGTTGTTTGAAGAAAAAGTTTGTGTACAGAAAGCATGTTTCTATGGGTGAGTAAAATGTTTAAGTTGTTTCTTTAAATGCTTCAATTTCTCTCAAGAAATATATGTGCATATATTTACATACACACAAAGTAATAAAAATCTTTGTGCCTATATAGGTATATGCATATAGTTTGCAAGTTAAAATATTTGTGTGTTCTTCTCTTTTTATATGAATTATCAAAGAAATATTTGTGCCTCAGTGTTTTGTTTGATATATACTAATTACTTTGCTCTTATCATTAACTTTAAGCTCCCTTTGTGCCCTAATTCACAAGAATGTCTTAGTTCTTTTTTGATATTGCGAATTGTCAATTGCTTCAGAAAGCTAATCTTCCTTGAAAGTGTAGTATTATTGTACAGGTTTTAATTGTAAATGAGTATTTTCAATTCTACAATTTTACTGTCATTTTCCCCATAATTTGATCTTCACGTGCCAATAAAGGATGAATGTCAGCTAGTACTATGCCTAAGAAATTGAGTGATCATAAATGAGTTACTAATTTTCATAGGCTTATGCCATTTACAGTATCATGCAAATTTAGGAAGTGCTTTTCTTAGCTATAGAAGCACCATGAAGTATTAGTTACATTTGGAAATAACAATATTTCCCATTATCTTTTAGAGAGATGGAATTATTACTTAAGGATTAATGTTCAAAATTTGTACTCAATTTGCCTTCGATCTTCATAGACATTGATGATTAGCTACTCTGGCAGAGCAGTTCAGTGCATAAAGCCCCGCATTCATGCAGAGTTCGGGGAAGGGTCACACTCCAAGGGGTGTGATGTAGACAGTCATCTACCCAAATACATGCAATTAGTGGCTGCTTCCACGGCTCGATCTCGTGACCAATAGGTCACACGAAGACAACTTTTAACTTACGGGTTCGAGCAGTGGAAGTAGCCATTAATGCATATGTTATTCTAAACTGAATGATCATAGTCAAGTAGCAAAAGGAATTTTTATGGATTGTCTGGACTTATTGTGGGGAGCTTCAATTTCTTGGCAAAATCATAAGTGCTGATTTCACTTTTTTTAGCTTCTTCCTCCTTAGGAAATTAGGAATTAACAAGGTCATTGCTTAGTGTTTTCCCCTGAACTCATCCATTAAACGTGTTTCTCTAAGTTTCCTAGTGAACAAGACTAGGATGACCAGTTAAATGGCATCAAAATGATATTTCAATAGAGAATTAAATTGTAAATTAAAATGTTGCAAGACTTTGATTGTAATTTGTTTCCTCTCTTATTCACGTATTCATGCATGATAAACATATTTCATCACTAAAAACAGGAATTAGCAACTGACAAATTCTGTAGTTAAATAGAAAAATCCGTCGCTAATCCTATTTACGATAAATTAGCGATAGATTATCAAGAAATTCTGTTAGCTACGAGCAATTCAGCGACAGATCTTAGCAACAAAGTTTGTAGCCAATTCTAATTCTTTTTGTGGTGTTTATTACAAAGAATTAAACTCCGGTCCAATTTGTTTCTTAGTTCTTCGAAAAGAGGGTGGGGGTGAGAGGTGGTAGGGTTAATGAGCATATTAATGTCTAAGAGCATTGCATGGGAGCTGAACAAGAAATTGTATCTTTAACATAGTTTACTTCATAGAGAATTGAATTAGATACTTCACTTTCATCCTAAGGCATCTATAAGCATTTTATTGGTAATTAGCTAGTTGTTCTCTATGCTCTTTTAAGTTACTTTATTTAGCTTGGACTAGTAATAATTAACCTCTGAACTTTGAATTTTCTTGATTCCTCTTCTTAGTACGTACTATGTACAAGTGAACTACTAATTGTGTGTTAATTTTGTATTGCGTGTGGTACTGACCAAGAAACCGACTCCTTAATTAGTAATGGTCAAAAATGATGCCCTTGCTTTTATCTAAACATGATAAAATCTCTTGATATAGACTAATTGGTCATCGGTTATTGGATTTAGTAAATTTTACACTTGGTATATATTTTTCTGGATCATGCTTCTTTTCATATATAGTAAAAAAGGTGAAGATTAACATATATACTATAATTGAATTATATTGTGAACATGCATACCTCCCAACCTTTGTTGGATTTTACTTTCATCAATTATTCAACCCAACAAAACAATAAATAAATAAATAGACGATGAAGTTTGAAAGTATGGTATGGGGATTTTTGTTGTTTTTTACGATGTTACAGCTGATCTCGATGAGATGATAGTTCAAAACAAAAACGTGGAAATTGGAAACGTGAGCTAAGTTTGACTAAAAATGTAATAAAAGACGCTTTCTACAATACAGATCAGTGATCCTATATCCAGCTCTTGTCCTTGAAAGCATATAAAAGCATCCTTATTTAATTATGTGGAAGCTTATTTTGTAGTTATATATGTTGTTTTGGAAGCCTGCCGATATATATATATATATATATATATATGAAAAACTAAATGGTGAAGTTTTTCGCCAAATGGAGAGTTAACTATGATCCTTTTTCTTTATTATCTTCATTCACATTTCTAGAAATGTAATACACAGAGATTGTTCATACAGCTGTTTGCCTGATTTTTGCTGTTGTCGTTGTTTAGCATTTGTGACAAGGAATTGTGTACTTGGGTGCAATTCGATTATTTTACCCAGTACCTACTACCTTCCACCAACACAAGTATTGAGTAACTTTGTCCGCCAGTACTTAGGCAAATGAGAAAAAATCATGATACTCCACGCACTTTAATGACCAGTCGACGTTGATTGCCTTCTATCCTTTAGTCGATAATTGCACTTCAATCGACAGCTTGACTAATAAGTCATATTTGTGATAAAAACACTTTGGTAAGCAACATTATATGGTTGTGCAATGTGGCTATCGGCCAAATTCCTCGGGTTGGTCCATCTGGCCTGTGTCTGCGTCGTATAAAGGCTTTACTAGTTATTGTTGAATTTCAGCCCACGTACAAGGCGGCTAGAGCGGCAGAGCCCAGTCCTATATTGGGCTTAAAATAGCACGAGTTAACCATTTTTCGGATTGGTAATCGAAAAATAGTCAGCGTTTGCGAAGTCATTGAGAAATAGCCAATATTTGCTGAAACACGGAAAGTTTCAGCATAATATGCGGGATTATGCAGCTCCTGCATGTAAACTTCCAACTAGGGTTGTACATAGGCTGGGTTGGTTCGGATTTTGCAATTACCAAACCAAATCAATTGTGTCGGGTTTTTAAATCTAAAGACCGAACTAAACCAATGAAATTCGGGTTTTTCAATCTCGTTTTTTCTCGGGTTTTTTCGGGTTTTTTCCCCGGTAAAATCTTCGTAGAAACAAAATATATAACTTGTGCTCAAAATATTTCTTTAACCCTAGTAAGATACAACTATATAAGGTATTTTCCAAGAAAATAATACAAAATATGAGATGTGTCATGGCATTATCCTAAAATATTCAACAATAAAGACAATAAAATTATGTAATATAAATATTGCTAACTACGTCGATTCCGTTAACTCCGTTGGGTGAATTCGGGCTTAGGGGCGTGTCCGGATTGTGTTTTGAAGGTCCGTAGTTTATTTAGGCTTGAAATGCCGAAAGTTGAATTTTAGAAGTTTCCGGACCGATAGTGAAATTTTGATATCGGGGTCGGAATCCGATTTCGAAAGTTGGGATAGGTCCTTAGTGTTGAATGTGACTTGTGTGCAAAATTTGGGGTCAATCGGACATGGTTTGGTTGGTTTTGGCATCTGTTGTAGAAATTTGGAAATTCAAGTTCATTAGGTTTGGATTGGAGAGCGATTCAGGGTTTTAGGCGTTGTTTGATGTGATTTGAGGGCTCGACTAAGTTTGTATGATATTTTAGGATTGGTTGGTATGTTTGGTTGAGGTCCCGGGGGCCTCGGGTGAGTTTCGGATGCTTAACGGAATTGAATTTAGACTTAGGCAATTTCTGAATTGCTGAACCTGTTATTTTTCTAGGCGCCGCAGAAGCGTCTTGGTGACAGCAGATGTAGTCTGAGGCATAAGGACAGTTGGTCGCAGATGCGGCCCAAGGACCGCAGAAGCGGTACCGCGTATGCGAAGAATGGAGCACAGGTGCGGTGCCTGGGGACTTAATGAATTTCCGCAGGTGCGGAACCTTAGCCGTAGAAGCGGGACCGCAGGTGTGGTGGACCCCCTCGCAGAAGCGAAAATTGCTAGGCAGAAAAGAGTGAAATTGAGGGTTTGAGTTCATAACTTCGAAAATTGATTTAGAGCTCGGAAGAAGGCGATTTCTTGAGAGATTTTGAAGGAGAACTATTGAGTAACGAATTGTATCTCTAATTTGGTTCTAATACATTAATCTATTATTGTTTTACGCATCTAATCTAAGAATTTGAGTGGAAGAATGGGGATTTGGGGGAAAAGTTTCCCAACCGAGTTTTTGGGTTTTGATCAGGTTTTAGTTGTCGGAATTGAGTAATTTTTGGATGAGTGATCTCGTGAGTGAATGGCTGTTCTAAATTGGTAACTTTTACCCGATTCCGAGATTTGGGCCCGGGGAGGAGTTTTGGGCGTTTTCCTATTTTCTCGCCTTAGCTTTAATTCAGTAGCTAAATTAGTTGCTTGTAGCTATATTTACATTATGCAATTGATTTGATTAGATTTGGGCCACTCGGAGTTGGACACTCGTGGCAAGAGCGTGATTTCGGATTGATTGGAGCTTGGTTCGAGGTAAGTGGCTTGCCTAACCTTGTGTGGGGGAATTCCCCTTAGGATTTTGGTACTGTTGTTATATAAAATGCCGTGTACGTGAGGTGACGAGTGCGTACATGTGCTAAATGCTGAAAAATCCCGTTTTCATTAAGTAAATATCTATGTTTTCCTTAATTGAGTAATACTAGTATATGACGCCTCCTGTTTAGCTTAGGAAAGCATGCTTACGAGACTTAACTGTCTTTTCTGCTTTAAC